GCAATGGAGTTGACTCCCTGGATCATCAATTAACTAAGGGACAATGTAACCAGTGATGGCTTGTGACCTACAGAATGTCTGATGTTACTGTATATAAAGATTTTGTTTAAGACTCCAAGTTGTTTCTCTCAAAGATCATGTTATTTTCACTAAGGAAAGAGGACTTTATCCAACTAAATTAGCTCTGACAAAATTCTCAGCCATTATGCATATTGCTTATATAGATGAGAGTTATGTTTATTAAAATCTTATATCTCTGCTCCTTTATTTCCTGAGTCCAAATACTTTATTTTTTTTTCTCTATTGGAAAAACAGACATAATTAAAAATTGTAGTATTAATAACAGAATTAATTGGAATAGCACTAAAGAGAAGAAACCCACTAACTGAAATAATAATAATACTTAAAATGTATTATAGATCATTAAAATAAGTAAAAAAATAAAGATTTTCAAAGGTATTCTTGACCATATTCATATAATAGTCACAGATAGACATGACAATTAGAAGGATTTTAAGTGTTTTTGTTTGGAGTTTAAAGGAAAGTACCACCAGCACTTACAGCTAGACTTGTAAGGGAACAAAGATCCACATGACTTACTGGACAGCTTCTGTAGAAGCCCTACCAAACAAAATTAGAGTTTGAGAGTATTTGTAGGTACATGAATTAAACATCCCCAGAGTATCTCTTCTGTAATAATGGCCCATTTAGAAAGTTACCTAACTGTGTAGAATATGAATTCCTAAAATATAGCCTCTGTTGTAACTGGAAAGCAGACACCTTAATCCTAGTAGGAAGGGAAGTAAGAATGATGAGAAAAGAGGAAAGGAAGGTGAGGATCAAAGAGTAGAAGCAAAGGCGGATGAGTGTACCTCAGGGAGATGGAATATTTCTGGGCTGAGAGGGAGAAGCTAAGGATCAAGGTGTAGAGGGCACCTCTGCATCATGGTGGGACATTTAGAAGATGAGAAATGTAGGTATGGACACAGAAAATAAGTTGGAAGGGAGAGAGCAAGACCAGGGAAATGAGGCGTGGTGATGTCTTCCATGTTTTGGTTGCTGTGGGATGCACAATACCCTACTCCAAATAAGGCTGAAAGATAGACAGAGACTATACGGACAGTGGGACAGTTTGGGATAGTTGTTAAAAGAATTGAGAATTGATCTTAAGGAACAACATTTCTTTAACTTCTTAAAACCTTTATTCAGTTAAAGAAGATGTAGATGTATAATTATTTCTATATTACACTTTCAGGGGATTTAAAATCCTTTCTTTAAAATACTGTTTTATACTAAATTATTTTTCTTATTTGGTGTGGGGGATTTTTGAAAGACTGAATCACCTAATTAGGTATTTAATGAATAACTCTTATAATCTGGGGAAAAAATATGTTTACAAAATCCATGAAAAATAGATGCAAGAGAAAGGCTGTCACAAAAATGACTTTCCTGGACTCGACTTGAATTGACCACAGCATAAACCTACCAAAAGAATTAAGTTTTAATTTGAAGAACCCCTTAAAATTGGTCTTGAAATACAGAAAAAGAATGAGTCATTCGTGGCATGTGCAAGGCTGGCTAAGATTGGGCTAGCAAACAACTGGAGAAGCAGTAGTGTAATGGAGGTGGAGGTGGTGATTTGAAATTATTGGAACTTGGCACCCCCAAGCCTACTTATTTCTAGGGGCTTTATAGTTGCAATTAAAGGTCACTGCTCCTCCATGCTTATATCTGTCTGGAATAATGAATGATCAGAAACATGGTCTCATCAGAGAAAAATTTCAATCTAGAATAACCAAAGTATTAATGAACTTGAGTGATGACAGCATAAACCTTCCTTTCCTATGAAGGTTTATGGGGTGATCTCCTGTGGGAATTGGACCTGTTTGTTTCTTTTTTACATCAGCTATATCAACCAAGCTTCCATCCAATCTGCCTACCCTAATTATCATGAATCCATTCTTTCTCATCATTTCGGCAACATTTGTGTTTCCTGTAAGCCTAAGTACTCACAGTACCTCTTCAACACTTGTTTGAAAGCCCTTGTCTTTTTAAATGTATTTACATGACCTGCAAACTAAGAAGGGGAGTATGTGTATTATCCCAACCCACATGAGCTGATGAACCAATTGAACACTTAACTCTAGATTGTTCTCCCTCCTTATTATGACTTCACTGGGCAAATGTTTACTAACACCAGAAGCGCATCCTTCTTAGAATGAGGTCACTTTAATAAGTGCAAATTTATTACTGTTGTTTTTATATATATATATATATATATATATATATTCATTTATACATACAGAACTTGAGTACAGGCCAGAGGTGTAGGGGTGGAGAGAGGATTCACCAGCAACAGAGTGGGCAGCAGAACAGGCAGATCTACTGAAATACACTGCTGAGGGGAACAGTGGGAGAGGTCTGCCGTGCCATGTGGGTCACCTCAAGGGGGCTGGAGCTCAAACTCACACTGAAGCAGCTGAGACTAGCTTGCAGTGCTGTATGCTAACCCTCTGCACCACCAGGGAGAGCCCCCTACTGCTGCTTTTTTTGATCCTGATCCTAGTTCTTGTTCCTCAAAACAAGATTTCAGGGTGCCTCATCTTTCCTGAGGCATCAGGAGGAAAATGTTGCAATATTTTCAGACAATTTCAAGTTTCCCATGCACATAAGCACATTTTTACAAAAAGCAGATTGACTAACAGTATATCTTCTATTCCCTGTGCCTCTTTTCTGTTCCCTGCAGTGTCCCTCTCCCCATCCAAGCAGCTCTGCCCATTAAACTACCCTTTATAAGGGAAGCAGTTCCTTTTTTGTCTAAGCTGGAGCAGTGATGTGTTTGGGGATTCTAGGTCAAGTCAGGAATGATGAGTCTAGGTCACTGAGGGATTTTTAGAATGGTAGGCGTATCTGTTAGGAATTCTATTCAACTGCAAATAATAGAAACCCAATCACAGGAGCTTATTTAATTGTGCCTTAGTAGCAAAAAGCCTCAAGACAGGTGGTTTGGGCTTGGGCTCCTAGTGCTGTATCTATCTTTAGCATGTGACTTCTGTCCGACAAGAGGAACGGGAAGAGCTAAAGGATTAACGTGCCTGTTCTGTATTAAATCAGGAAAATAATAGCTTTTCCAAGAAGTCCCACCCAGTAGACTTCTTACATCTCACTGGCCAGAAGTAGGTCATAAGTTACTCTTGGCTGCAAGGGATTGGAGAGGTGAATAATTTTAACTGGGAACATTATTTCCTTCAGCAAAATTGGGGTTCATTTGGGAAGACATTAATGGATAGTCACTGAGCAGGATCTGCCCCGAGGGCAAAATCTTTCAAATGCACCTTTTGGCCACTATTGAGTCTCTTCTCTATACCGCAGAAGGCATGCATTTCAGTGATGGAATACCTTGAATTATAGTTAAACGATAGAAGAGGAAGTGATGCCATGAATAGGTCAAGTCTTTCTATTATTAATCGGACATTCTCTTTCTTGGCCTTTCAATAAAGAACCTTTGACCTAATAGTGAGCTGCATGCAAAGAGCATGAAGGCCCATTCCAGACTTATTCAGCTCTCAAACCTCTGGTTCCCAAGAACTTAAGAAAGGAATCTCTCAGAGCTGGACCCTCTGAGCCCCCACTTTGACCTATTTTCTATTTGTTTCTTGCTCAAAAGCAGGTTTTTTTTTTTCATCTCAGGGCAAGTCCCTTGGATTTGGGAACTGTTCACTATCTTTGATACTTTAGAGTAACTTTAATTCACCTAGTCTAGTTTATTCCATCTCTCAGTTAAAGTGAATCTTTTAATCTCTTTGGGGGTAGAATGAGGTGTATCTAACTTCAAAAGCTGGTGTCACTGTGCATACTTTAGTGTGTCAATAAAACTGTGAATAGTCTCTTTTTCATGTTTTCTAATTTCATTTTCTGGTGTAGTCCTTTAGGATAGAGCTTCAACTAGTAGGATGTGAACACAGTATAGAATATGAATGTCCTCAGCCTTCAGGACAGTGGAGCAGAGCCTGGGGCAGCCAGAGCATCCCTGCCTGGCAACTTAAATGTCTCTTCCATTTAGCCCATGAGCCTGACTTATATTATCATTTTTCTATATGTGGTGAAGTCAGAATGGGTGGGAAATGCTGCCTTCAGACCTATTCTTCCTTTTACTTGTCTCTCTATTCTTGCATACAAGAATAGAGACGTAACACTATCTCTTTTCTTTTCTTGCACTGGTTGGAGGTCGACTGCCTTTGGAATTTTGTAGCTTGTTCTAACACTCCTGGACCCTGAACTGTGGCTTGATTCATTTTTTTTTTTAAGATTTATTTATTTATACATACAGAACTGGGGTAAAGGCCAGAGGTGCAGGGGCAGTGAGAGGATTCACTGGAGACAGAGTGGGGAGCAGAACAGGCCGACAGATGAAGTATGCTGTTGAGGGGAGCAGCGGGCAGATCAGGAGAGGTCTGCCGTGCCTTGTGGGTCACCTCCAGGGCAGGAGATCAAACTCATGATGAAGTGGCTTTAGCTTCTTAGTGCTGTGCTTTAACCCGCTGCGCCACCAGGGAGGACCCTTGATTCAATTTTATCCCTTTTCCCCTCCCATCGAGTTCTATTATAGTCTCCCAGCTTTGCTCTTCCTTTCCTTTTTATTAATAATTGTATAGGTGGGAGCTCATCCCAGCCCCTCTATATAACCGTTTATCATGGAGGCTCCCACAGTTGTACCCTTTGTTCTCTGAAAGCTTTTCTTTTGACATTAGTCCTCCTGGCCAAACCCAGAGAGGCCATGCTTTTTCCACACCCTGCCCTCCTCCTCAGTTCTCCTATATAAATGAAAGTGTAGGAATGCAGGGTAATAATCTGCTGGGGAGGTTGTCGTTAATAACAGCATTTATTAATATTCTCCCTTTGCCATTTTTCCATTTATTTTAAAACTTCTATAGCCTTTGAGCTAAGGAACAAGAAATAAGTTATAATTAAGTTGAAAAGTGCTTCTTTGGTTTTTGCAGATGAGAATTCTCCAGCCAACTTCTGGGATTCTAAAAACAGGGGTGTGACTGGGACTCAAAAAGGACAAATTGTATGGAGAATTGAGCCTGGGCCCTATTTCATGGAACGTAAGTAACTACATGTGAAATATAAATTTGTTCTTTAACATTGCATAATATTCAAAGATCTTGAGTTCTTCCCGAATGTTATTTAAAAAAAAAAAATTGGCTGTGATTTTCATACTTATGCCATGAATCCCCAAACTGGAAAAATAGATTATTTCAGAAAATTCTTACTAGGGAATGCTCACAAATTCAGGGAGAAGGATACAGATATGTTTGTTTGTAAATTTATACATATATAGCTAGATCACATATTGTTTAGGAATGTGTGCTTGGCTAACACATTTTTTTTTTATATGCTTGTGACTACATTTGTAATGCTTAATTATATTAATTTCAAGGAACAGAAAGAGTTATTCTAAATTTCAGTAATTTGAAATTTTTTACTTGCCTTTAGAATATTTCACTAATAGCAGAAAAACTTTGACATTTGGGCCCTGGTCTTTACAAATATAGAGAAAATAGCCTGGACCTGCTTCCATAGAGGTCACCTCACTAAGAATTAGAAATTGGCTGCAGATAAGTTGATTATCCTATTGGTCTGATATTATACTTATTTGTAAATACAAGTGCTTATATACATGGTTAACAGAAATAACTTTTTATTGGGTTGAATGGGAGTATTTCATATATTCAACTAGTATTATTGAGAACATAGTGAATACATTTTTGTGGAATAGATATAAACATGAATAAATGATTTAGTGGTGGATTCACATAAGCTTTAATATTTAAAGAGTGAATTTTTCTTTGATGTAGAAAAATGATTTTCAAAGTTTCTGAGTTGTTTAGTTAAGTATGATTAACTTTTTTATATGTTAAGGGTTTAATATGAGAGAAAAGGAATGCTAGTAGTTAAGGATAGCACTTTTTAAGCCTTAAAATATTAAGATTTGATAAAATGGGAATCTACTATAGGTATATCTTTATTGAAACATAAAAATTCTATAATATAAAAAGTTATTTTAGGGCCCTCCCTGGTGGTGCAAAGGGTTATAGCACAGTACTATGAAGCTATCTGCAGTCTCTGCAGCATGAGTTCAACCCCTGACCAGTTCTTATCTTGCCCGCTGCTTCCCTCAGCAGTGTACTTCATCACTCTGCCTGTTCTGCTACTCTGTCTCTGGTGAATGTTTTTACCCTCTATACCTCTGGCCTATATATATACTCCAGTTTTTGTATAAATAAATAAATATCTTCTTTAAAAAAGTTATTTTAAAAGACTCACATCTATTATGTTGATTTATCATTAAAGGTATCAGTTAATTTCTTCTATTATTCTTACTGTTCAATATTCAGTTGTTTCAATGCTCAATTTTTGGCTAGATTTGCTCTTTAAACCTTAAAAGGAAGGTTTAAGGTTTCCATTTTAATGGAAGATATTCATGATATATCAGAAAGTGAGGGAAATAAAGCACATTTATATAACATAATCCCAACTAATGTATAGCATATGGCAAAGAGTCCAGAAGGAGATTTGTCAAAATGAGAACAAAGGTTTCTGGCAGATGAGATTTGGGTGATTTGTTTTCCTTTCCTATTTCTAATTTTTCTACTTTCCAATATTGGCATAACTGGCTATGTAATCAAGTAATGGGGAAAAAAATGATAACAGAATGTGGGAAATTGAAATAAATAGTCAGGTTTACTTTTGATATGACTCTGCCTTTGAAGGATCCCAGAATTTAAAAGACTGTTCTAGCTAAGAAATATTGTAACCTGGGCTTCAGGGAAAAAGGTAAAAGATCCTTTCTGTTCACTCCAAAATGCTGAAGATTGCTGGGAATGCTTGTTATTGAAGAGTGCAGAGTCACAGTAAGGGCCTCGTGCGAATACCTAGAGAGAAGTTAGGTATCCAAATCACCTGTTGTGATTTGGAATACTGTGTGTGTGTGTGTGTGTGTGTACCTATTTGCACAGTATTCCACTTGCTGTGATTGATTTTCTTTCTCCCTTTAGAAACGGTAGAGATTTATAATACCCTGGCCAATTGGCATGCAGTAAATATCACTGACAAATGTTTTTCTTTTACCTTACTCTAGTATTGAGTAGAAATTTGTTGACATTGAAGCTAGGAATGAAGAAAAGAGGTAGATTTATTTTAATTTTCTCTTCTTATTTAGGATTTCCATCTTAATTCTTAACAAAATTAGGAGTATTGTGTAACATGATTGTAGTACTCAAAATACTCAGTAGAGCATATTTAAGGTCTAGCGAAGTAGTACAAGGTAAAGTGAAGACAATGTACTGGAATTTCAGAAGCATTTAATTTTAGAAGTTTATTTTCATTAATTAAAGTGAGATCTCCCCCAACACACACTGCTACCCTTTCAGTATGTAAAACCTCAAATGGCATCCATATCGTTGCTCAGAAATATAATCCATGTCTTTTAGACATCATATTTTAACACCAAATCTGATTGAGAAGACCTAAGGGAACTTCACAGCATAATGAAGCTTTGCTTAAATCTCTGGGGCTCATGGCGTGGGACTTAAAAAAACTGGGAAGAACATTACACAACTTTTATATTTTCAACCTCTGATCTTGAAAACTTAGGATATTTAAAAGCTTTTGCCTTCATCGTCACAAAAGAAATTTATCTTTAGCTCATCAGAACTCTAGGCAAAGTAAAATCCTCTGAAAATTGACCTATCTAAGTTCATGGGCAAACCTGAATTTGAGCACTATCTAAGCTCTATATGAATATAAAAATGACTTCAGTTTGACTGAATAAACTCCCAGAGGAGGCACATAGCCCTAAACTTATACTATTACAGGATCTGTTTTGAAAGGCAGAGTTTTAATTTTGGGTAGATGACCTTCTAGACATTGGAGAGGAGGATCAGCTTCACCTGAGTTTACTTGTCATGAGACTGTCAAGTGTTCCTGAAATGAGCTGATGCTCTTAGAAATGGAATGGGTTATTTGTGCAGTATGCATTCCTGAGTTTTGAAATGTAAAACATTTAAAAAATTGGCATACCAAGACACTTGGATCATTAATTCATTCATTCAGAACTGCCTTCTTTTCTCTCTTTTCTCTCTATCCATCTGTTCTATTCCTAGCCATCATGAAGTATTTATTAAGTGCCAACTTTGTACCACAATTCTAGGACCTCACTAAATCTTGGATCAATGAATGAGCTTAGGAACAGTAAACTTCATTGCAGCATTGCAGTGTTCTGATTACTTATTCAGAATAATAACAGCACATTAGGATTTGTGTAAATTTTGTAATAATTTCACATGTCTTACCTGTCTCCATCCTGGAAGTAAGAAACTGAACATCAGAATTGATGTGGCTTTTGTAAGTGAGAGCCCTGTGTTACCTGCCCTCAGGTTAGTACTACCTTTATGGATGGCTTTTACTGGGTAAGGCAGGGTGAAGAGAGCAGCAACTCTCTGACTCTAGCCTTCATTCCTAAGTCCTTTCCACTGACATCAGAAGGGCCTTTTCCCTTCATATCTCTTGGATGGAAATTGGAGTTTTCACTTTTGGTCCTCATACTTTTTGTTTTAGAGTCACACTGGCCTCTCATCCTCCTAGGTTTCTGCTATGTCTATACTGATACTGTCTTTGATGTTCAAATTGTTTTCCTGAGCTTGGTCAGAAAAAGGCCTGGTCATTTCAGGCTATTGACTCTTATTAAAGAGAAGACAGCTTGGGGTTACAGATACCGCAAGGACATGCTTACTATCATTGGAAATGTAGACAAATATCCTCAAAAGTGTAGAGATTAAAATGTTTACTTTTTCCCGATTTGTGGTCTTTGAATAAAAGAACCTACGACGAGGAATCATATTGTTAACAGTATAGTAAAAACCCATAAGACAACAGTTATATTTTAGAATAAATTGCAGCTAGCTTGAGTTTTAGGTTCTTCTTTTTAGTGAAATCAAATGATTAAAGGAAAGATATTTCTATTCCATCCGCCTTTAAGTCCAAAATATGCAACTTCATAAAGGACCAGGTGAGAAAACAATAATATTAATGAACAACAATATACCAGAGACATTTTATGGGGGTGGGATGGGAAATGAGATCAAAAACAGTATAGGGAGGGAAGTACACTGGACTATGGTGATGGCACATGGGTGATTTGGTGACTGGGAAGCCCAAGGGGATTGCAGATAAGATGGAAAAATGCACAAAATGATGTAAAGATGAACATATTATTTAAAAAAATTCAATGTCTACAAGCTTGGGAAAAATCCAAGTTTTCTAAATAGGAACAAGCTATTAACTACTGCTAAGTGACTCTTGTAGCTATTCAGGATGATGGATAGGATCCCAGTCTTTGAAGCAAAGGCATCTCTTGCAGGCTGTGACCTGTAGAACTTTTTTTCAGAGAGCACTTGAAAAAGGATCTTATATTGATGCTTAAAATTAATGTAGCTCAGTAGAGGTTACCTTTTTAAAATGCTGTGAATAGATAATATATAAAAAGAGTGTAATGCTAAAAAGATACTAAGGTAAAAGTGTTTACCCAGCTCCATTCCCCAGTCACCAGGTTCTTCTACCTGAAGGTAACCACCTTTTACCAGTTTGACCGATCATCTGGAAATGTTTTATTCTTATACAAACACAGAATATGTTCTTCCTTTAAACAGAAATGATAGAACAACTGCTTTTTAAGTCTGTCAAATGACACAATTACAGAGAGACCCCTTTATTTACAAACAACAGATCTAAGTACCTAAATACCGTACAATCTCCTCTCACCACTCCTCCCACCCCTTGGCCTGCAAGGAGTGCAAAGTAGCATCTTTGCATCCAGATCATTCCCCAGCCATCTATTGGCATGCTGTGTGTGTTGTGGGGAGCAAGGGGTCTTTATTTCTTTGTGCTGAAGTTGATCATTTCAAAATTTGACAACAAATGGGGCATCATGTCTTGTCAGCATTTAAATAGAGATTGCCAAATATTTCAGGGCTTCTAATTTGTCATTATGGTTGGAGATTTTTGTTATGGTAATTAATAAAATAACCCCTAAAAAGGATCTGCTAACAAAACTGACCTGTCTATTAACACCCTGCAAATAAAAATAGCACTCATATCTTGTGGATCTCATAGACTGTTACATAGTTGACTTTTTTTCAAAACCTTAGCAGAGAAGGAGATGGCATTCTAACTTGAGCGGCAGTTATAGGAAGATATCTTATAAAATGCACTTCTCTTTATTGAAAGATGAACCCCTAACTCACTCACTATAGATTGATCTGTGAGCACTGCTGCAAGGAAAGTCACAGACTACTAGTTCCCAGCATTTACAGTGATATATTAGTGAGCTCCAGTCCACAGAGTTCAGTCCTCAGCACATCACTGAGCTTTGTTCTGCTTTGGTGGGGCTTACCATGATGCTTTGTTTTGTTCTTCCAGAATAAATGCTATTAATTTGGAAGAAAGCAAGCAGGAGAGTACAGTTGCTCAGATCTGTACAGCTACTACTATTTCAGTAATAACCAAAAACTTGTGTTATACTTGAGAAAGTCATTTGTAGTCATGTTTTCAGGGAAATGAAGTAATTGTCAAGCTAGAATTCCTGCACAGGTCATCTTGCTGTTCTTTAAAGCCAGCATGCTCATTCCTGCTTCCCTGCTTTTGTTATTCCCCACGTCTCACTCCATCTACCCTACTTTTTCTCCACTTTTAGTTTGAGTCTAGACTTATTTCTGACTTTGCTGTGTCCCCACTAATCTTCTCCATGGTCTTTGTATGCTTCTATCTGGCCCTCTTCCTGTTCGGTGTTGTCTCTTGTGTTTTGCCATGCCTGTGACTATCATTTCAACATCTGCTTGGCCAGAAACCTTCCTTTGATCCCCCTGCACTGTCAGGCATAGCTCTGGATGTGTATTTTGATGAGTGCATGGTAAAAGCCTTTTGTTTGATGATGCTAAGCACCATGTGAATCACGGCATAGTGATTAACACCCATAATGGAAAGACTCAATGTTTTAGTCTATGACAGACCTTTTTTTTTTTTTTGAGAACAAATATTTTGATCATTGATAGGAAAAGTTTAGTAATACAATTTTTTTTTTTAAAAAAGGATTTGCCTTTAAAATAAGCAAATCAAATACTCTGTAGGCAGCCATTTGTTTTAGTAAGAGTCAGTGAGAGATTAACTTGCTTAGGGTGAATACATGGATCCATGGTCAATAATCCAGGTGCTCAGCTGAATAAAGAGCTGCTCCCCCACCTCCCATGGGCCAGGACTCCCCATTGAGACCCATCAGCATCACTGCCTGTGCTGAATGGTACCTGGGGGTGAAAAAAGCATTTCACATTTCAGTGACCCTTGAAACTACAGCCTATTTGTTTTGTAGAGGTGAGGAATCAATGTTGTAAAGTTAGTCATATTGGGTTTGAAACCCTATCACTTCCTATTGGGCCTTTGGCAAACCTCACCATTTCATCTGTGACTTGGGTGCAGGGATTATGTCGCCCATGGTTGATTAGAGGAGTAAACAGGAGCAGAGACAGCAATGTGGCTGGTGTGTCATGGAGCCTTCAATAAAGGCTAGCCAGATATACTTTCATCTCTAGCCTCTCCATGTTTTATATGTTGTCTTGGTGTATAATTTTTCAAGGATATCTGAGACAGTCTTAGAAAGTTTCAGGGAAGCATATAAAATCAAACAGGAGTAAATATGATCTGTGGTTTTTGATTGGAAAAGAAGGGGCCATTCAAAGTCATGAGGAGGATTTTCTGAGAGGCAGCAATGGTAGCTTTTCTCAGGTGATTCCTAAATGACTTGACTCAGTGTTTAAACTATTTTTCTCCCATCAATTTGCAGCTGAGATAAAAATCTGTTTTAAATACTACCACGGCATCAGTGGGGCCCTGCGAGCTACAACCCCCTGCATCACCGTGAAGAACCCTGCTGTGATGGTGAGTGCCCCCCATTCCAGCTTCCTCAAGAGGATGGTCTCCAGAGCCCTGATTTCTATTTTTTGCCTGAGAAACTCAGACAGGGTTATGGGAAACAATGCAAACGGAAACGTGTGGGTGCAGTTTTAGGAAAGGAAATAGTTTACAAGGCTGGCATACCTGAATCCATAAAACAAATGAGTGGAAAAATAGGATTTGATTAATAACATTGTGTATGTAGGGAGCTCTTCGGGATGCCCACTCAGGAGACAACTTAATGAGTGCCGCATGATAAAAGTTTTTGAAACTTAGTCTTGGTGAATGGTTGGTAGGAAATAGTCACATTGTTCCTATGTTAATTTAATTGACATGTGTTCAGTGAGTAAAAAGAGAAAAATAATTGAAAGAGTGACCCAATTAAAAGAGTATATGCCCCAAAGAAAGTGTGAGCTGCAGATTACAAATCTTTGTTCTTATCAGGAGGTCTTAGCTCTGGATGCATCTCTGTACAAAGCTGGATCCTAGGACCTAAGCACATATCTTTGGTGTGACATACACACTCAGTGGACACCAATCTTTTCACCAGGTGCTTAACTGAAGATTTAACTTTGGAGGAAACTGACTTTGTTGGGTTTTCAAAGGAAAGTGTGTGCATTTCCCACATGACACTTTCCTCAGGGTCCCTTTCACAGTTGTGTGTTTTCACTCATCATCTAACTTGAGAATCTAATAAATGTGTTGCTCATTTATTAGTAGATCTTACTAGTCAGTAATAAGAAGCAGATAGTGAAAATACTGACACCTGTAACATAGAAACTTCATTAACATTGTGTTTGTGCATTTGGTGTGTGTGCATATTTATAGATGCATGCTGTTTGGGAAATAGACACGAGGAGGTTGATTCAATGAAATTCAGAAAGTAATCTCTGCAAATGGCATTTTGAAATTGTTGATATGCACTAATGCCCAAATCAAGCCATCTTTGCTTTCATTTATTCATTCAAATGAATGTGTGTTGGGCGCCTACTAAGTGCCAGACAACATGCCCACCACTGGGGATGAAGTGGTAAGTGAAAACATAGTCCTTGCTGTCATTGGTCTGGTGGGAGAGTGAGGCAGCAATTAAGGTAAATTACATTTATTTGAGGGATAATTGTTATGAGACTGTCATGGTAGGACTGAGTCTCATCAGGAAGGTCTTAGAATGTTTCCCTGAAGAAGACATGGTAAAACAATCTAGAGGACTAGTAGGTATTTCTGAAGTGAAAAGAGAAGAGGGAAACAAGAGCATTTCTGGTAGAAGATGCAGTTTGTGTAATATCTCCAACATCTAATCACTCTGTTCACTTGAATTATATTTACGTCCCCACGGGAGTAAACATAGTATGGAATATAAATGAACAGCCCACAGTTGCCATATTATAAGACTGAAAATTAGAGCAATCGTTGACTGCAAAGTCTTCTATGGCACATAGTAAGCACTAGACACACTTTATATTCTAAAAGGAAAAATATACAAAAATAGCATTATGGGCTGTTAATAGCAAAATATTTGAAAATTAAATGTGTAAAATTAGACAATAGCTTTCAAACACGATTTTCTGGATTTAAGCAATTTTCAAATCCAGATGTCATTAAAGGCAGCAGAAGTTTACAGCTGCTGAATGTATACTCATTCTATTGATTTTTGCATTGAGCTCACTCTGTGAATGACAGTGGACATTTTGGAGATAATTAATTTGTTCCAGATAGGTTTTAGTGCAGCTTGAAAGCTTCATAGATATAGCACTGACTATCAGAATATAATGTTTTGGTTCAAAGGCTGACTAATAGAATGGATGGTTGATAGATTTCTGACCAAAATTGAGACAATTGGTATGTATCCAGAATTGAGACACTGCTCCTTAGACCTCTCACTGTGTGTGTGAACATGATGTTTGTATAACAACGTGATGATCACTTAGGTATATGACATGCATTTAGTTTTTGTAACTGGTTATCAACACTCATATTCACAAAGCCCATTTAGTATGATTATCAGTAAAAGACAGAGCTAGAAGCAACTGTAAATTCTATAGGGAAGGAAATGAACAGCCTTTCCAAGCATGTGGCCTCATTTCTTCCATAGCCTTTTGCAATGAAACAAGGATAAAATAAATTGTGTCTTCTCTCTCACTTATACTTTGACGTCATTATCATTCATCAGTACACAGTGATACGTGTCTCAGACTTTTGGAACAGGAAATCCTTTGGTTTCAGGGGCAGATTAAGGTTGCTATCACTCACTACCTTGTATTGTTTCAGTGCTTGGTTGACAGTGTTACTTCTGGGTTTTCCTGGAATGGATCTATAGAGTGAGTTTATTTTAAAACCTCTATCTAAACATTGTGTACAGATGTGTTTGTTATCACTGGTATCCCTCTATCTACCAGTAACGATTGTTTTTTCCTGACTTTATTGTACTAAATAATAAAATTGAATTCTTTGAGAATTATTTCAGATGAATGTCTTACCACAGTTGTAGGAAATGACACTGTTTATCTGTAGATTCTGTGAGAATTTTTTCTCTTTTGCCATTTGTTAGTGAATTATATTTAAAAAATGAGAATTTGAGATCATCTTCTCTACTTTTCATCATTTCATATGATGAAAGAGGTTTTAAATGAGGACAGGCTATGAGTCTTTTCAATCTCATTTGACTGGCTTAGCACAAATATCCATTGAGCACGCTGACACCTGACAACGTGGTGTATGTCCTCCTGCCAACATGGCCCATTTGTGGGGAGACCGTGGATCAGACATCAGCCATGCTCCAGGTACATAGCGGCAGGTTGCTGAGCATCTGTCTCAGCTATGGTCTGCACCCACTTCAGCTTCACCACTCTCTACTCCAAGAGCTGGTGTGGAGAAAGCTAGATAGATAGCCACAGTGATCAGGTACCTGGCCAGTTTGCTGCTGTCTCTGCTTCAGTTGACCTGGGCATGATAAGTAAATAGAGTTACAGAATCACATAACAAATCATATGTCCTTGTTGAGAACCAACCCATTGTCACCAAGGAGTAGGCTCTATGGATGAAGTGAAATAAAGATGCCTAGAAAGTACACTAGTATATGGTGAACAATGAAGGAATCAGGAAGCAGTTGAGTGTCAAGCAGAATAGTCTTAATTAAGGTTCAGAAAATCTTGACTAAGGTTCACAACTGATATTTCAAAATCTGAATAAAGCTATTTTGAAATTTCTCTACTCTGCTTAGATTATGAGTTCTCTCCCTTGCTGATGTCGATTCTTAAAGGAGTATGGGAATGCTGCAAAGATTAGATGGAAGGGTTCAATACAAACTTAACAACTGAAATGTGGCTTCTGGTTTCCAACTAACTGGTTGATTGTTCGTTACCTATAAATGAAAGGCTTGTTGTTGTTTTTTTTTTTTTTTTTTTGGTACTGTAAAGGAAGCCAACCAAAATGTTCTCAGCATCAAAGAACAAAACATTTTGCCACCACCCTGTCTCTTACATTATTGTGTCCTTCTATCGGTAGATAGAACTATGTTCTATCAATAAAGTATAATTCCAAGTGAGATATGGTTTACATGACAGCTTTTAAGACAAAGGTTTCCAATGCAATAATCAGTACATTAGCATTGCCAATGCCTGTAATTGCTACTGATAGTAGAATATGCCATGTATCTGTGGCACAGTAAATAGGAACAACAGGGACAATGGAATAGCCATGGAGACACTCAGAAGCATTTGTCAAGAGAGAGTTATTTTCCACATATGTGGATGTGTCTGATATAAATCAACTGTTTAGTTTATTCTAAGTGTTCCCAATAAATCTGTAGGAATTTGATCTTTGGGTTTTAATAAATTAGGGAATGTTTTCATATAGTAATATAAGTACACTTACCATGTGTCAACTATTTTCTTATCAAATAAATAAAAATGAACTAAAGTAGGATGATTTATATCACAAGAAATTAGAAGCTCTTATTTGTTTGGTTTTGGATAAAGATTAAATTTAGGTACGATCCTAAATTAGGTTTCCCCATCTCTGAGAATCTGCTTATCAATTCTAAAATTTTTAGCAGATGAAAAGACATATTCACAGCAGTGTTTGATACAAATATTACTTTTTTTTTGCAAATTTATGTGCTTTGTTAGGAAGGTTGAATAGCATCATATCCCTTTGAAACTTCAGGTATGTGTTTTTTCTCTGCAGATGGGAGCAGAAGGCATGGAAGGAGGTGCTGCAGGAAATCAACATTCTCGGAAACTTGTTAGTTTTACACTGTCAGGTAAGAATATCTTTAAACATAATGTCCAGTTTGAACGTGTGTTCTACAGATTCTCATTTATAATATGTGATCTAGGATTGTTGGCTTTTTTGGCTTTTTTTTTTTTTTTGAAAAATTAAGTAAGTACTTTACCTTAATAAAATTAAATAATTGATATAAGTTCAAAAATTATTTCTTTTACCAGTTTTCTCGAACAAAAATTATATGTATAGTTTCACAAAAGGTGTAAACTATGCTAGCCCCAGCATGAACTTCAATTATTGAAAAAAAAAAATTACACTGGTCTCATCTAGAAAAAGGAAAAATTTGGAGAGGATAAAACAGCAAGGGATAATTCTGTTGCATAAAGTAATAATAATTGGAATAATAAATGGAAAGTGGATAAGAAATTTTTTTTCTTTGGATAAAAAAACTTTATTATTAAAATATAGTTGTTTGTACCTTTATTATACAGCTAGGACACATTTCATAGTGTGACTTGGGACTCCTGTGGTTTAAAAGATTAATTTAGTTAAAACCCACAATTTAAAAAGGAACAGTGCTCTCTCTGTGGTGCAACAGGTTAAAGCACCACACTATGAAACTCTCAGAAGCCACTGTAGCACGAGTTCGATCCCCAGTGAGGCAGCTGACCCATATGGCATGGTAGACTTCTCCTGGCCTGCTCACTGCTCCCTTCAGCAGTGTATTTCAGTAGGTCTGCATGTTCTATTCCCCACTCTGTCTCTGGTGAATCTTTTCGCCCACCACATCTCTGGCCTGTACCCCAGTTCTATAAATAAAAAATATATAAATAAAAAAGTATAAATAAAAAAATTGCAAAATATAAAAAAGACCAGAAAAAAACATCAGAATTTGCTAAAGGAAATACTTTACTCATAGACCATCAGTTCATACAAACTGAAATTTTCACACACACACACACATGCACACACACAAAGTTTTCACAGGTACCCAGTAAGTACCTGTATTGGGTTATAATGAACCTAGTTACAGGTCACTGTCAAAAAAGTCACTGATTTAAAGTGTTTCTTCTCCTTTTTCCAGGTCAGGTAAAACCTTTTTTTTTTTTTTTTTGCTTGATTCTGTGGTGAGTCACCAATGTTGTAAAATGGTGGTTTATGAATCAAATTTGGCCAATGAACATGTTTTGTTCAGGCCTTAATAATGGCTAGATTTTTAGAAGAACACTTAGACATGCTACTGGTTGTAGCAGTAGAAGTACTGAGCTCTCTCACCCACATCCTTTTTGACTGCTGAGAACATTCTGATTGTTTCCTTTACAGTACTAAAAAAAAAAGGCTTTCATTTATAGGTAATGAACAATTAGCCAAACTTTGTAGCTCAGAAAATTTAGGGTTTGACTATGCCGTAGTTTCCTGAGTTTAGAAACATTTCCCTGTGCTTTTAAGTGATCAATATTATTGTAAATATGACATGCACATATTGATTTTGATTCTAGAGCTGATGTTAATTAACTCACCATGAGAAAATGAGCATGGAGAAGTTAAAAATCCCAATATTTTCCTAAAGAAATAGAGAAAATACTTTTAGTTATGCCCAAAATCTTCTCTGAATTCAATTTTCCCCTATTATCTAACTTCTATTTATATACACCATTGTTAGCTGCCTAAGAAATCTGTTAAGATATAGTGATATACTTACAGATTATATACAGAATGGCTAAAAGTTATAAAAGAAGAAAGCAATTTTATGTTGATAACTCTTCAAAGTTAAGATTGTTGTATACTGACAGTAGATAATACTTACCCAAATATAATAAATACTAATTTAAATACTGCAGTGACTACCTGCAAATATTATTCTTTTCATTGTCAATGAATAAGTAAGGGAAAATAATTGAATTCTACAGTCAAAATAAAAATTGTATTTTGATTAATATCTTATACTTTTTTTCCAAATTAGACTTTAAACCAAAATATTTAACATGTCACATCTTTTTGATTTTGAGTCTTTCTTTGGTCAATTAGGTAGTATGGATATTTGTGAATAATAAATACATAAAAGACAAAAAGAGATAAGCAAGGACATCTGTGACATAGACACAGTAATTGAATAATCAGATTAGAAATAACTGGTAGCACTTGATACTTGTATAAAGATTTATCTGTGCAGTTTCACTGTGGGAGAGTTCGGTATCAGGGTTATCCACTGTGGCTTAAAATGGTGATGCTTTTTTGTTCAAAGGACTGCTTTGCATAAATCATTTAGTTCTGTTAGGCTTCGCGGCAGCCACTTCTGTAACACTTCTGTGTTACTCTTCATTTACTACAAGAAATAGTTTTTTTAGAAGATGATCTAATGCCTAAAGCATATCATTCTGTCTTTGTATCCAAAGTGAGCATAGGAAAGGCAAGAAACTAAATATGCAAATTGCATATTTCTCTCAAACCTATTTTATGCCAAATAAAGCCAAGTAAACATGTAGCATTTTAAAATTGGTAGTAAAATGCAAATGTTGTATTCGTTATGAGTACTTATTTATGTATATACCAAGTGTTAGTGCCAGGAGGGGACTATAAGACTAATGAGCTATGGCAGCCTCTCTAAAGTGTCTATCTAGTTCTTTACTTATCTTTCCTTTCTCCCACTCATTATCATCAAATGCAGTTTTTTTTAACATAATGTCCTCTTGCTTGAATCTTTCAATTTTTATTGACATATTAAACTGCCTCCCTCTTCTCTCAGTATATGTTGTTAGACTGTCTTATTCTGCTTTCATCACAGGTATGTGGCTTATTAGTTCCTGTTGGCCAGTGATGAAATTCCTCCAGGAAATGCTCCCTAGTGAATAGAGTATTATTAACCCTATGCCATGTCTGTCCTTCTAAGAATTTTTATTTCAGGTATGGGTTTGAATAGGATGACTCTTACGATCTCATATAACTTAGGGTCTTTTTAAAGGCCTACTCCCCAGACTATCTGGGTGAGCCAAAATTGCACAGAACTTCTATTTGAACCATTGTTCAGGACTTGACTAGACTTATATCATAGCTGAACGAAATTACCCAGAAATAGTTTATCTTTCAGAAACTTTCAGGGCTACTTATTTCTCAGGTTTACAATGTTCAAACTTTTATTTCCTGACACTTTTATATCCCTTAGCTTACCCATTTTTAATTACTCACCTCTTCACATGCCAGACTTTAGTCAGAACCTTAAGCAGCTAAGAGTGTGAAACAACAACTTGTGAATGTAAGATTAGTTATAACATAGTCACCAAATATTTAAACTACTTAAGTTATAATTACTTAATGTATCAGATCATATTCAAATTTTAGAAATGTTTCTGTTCTCCCTTTCCCCCAACATTCATTACATTTGTGAAATACAAGCTAGCATTTCATTTGTAGTACAATTGAATATGTGCCTTGAAGTTTCATCCCCAACTAAACTTAGTTCTATGCATTCCACATATGTACATAGGAGATTTGTTTTCTTTCATGAAGGACATAATGGTTTTCTTTAAAACAAAACAAAACTATTTACTAAGAATTTCTTTTAAGACATTGTCTGAAATGCTTGCTGCCAAACTAAATAGAGGACGATGGTGAAGATGCACGTTAGAATCAAAATGGCTCCAGCGAAACACTGGATTAAGTGTGAACAGAGGTGGTAAAAATTTGGCTTCGTTTTTGCAGCCTGTTATTCATCACTCACTTGTCCTCCCCTGAGCAATCATAGTGTGAACAACTTGGTTATTGTTTTACTGAATGGTTTATGTTTAGAGTCTCCTGTGTGATTAATTGAAAATAATTTTCATTGAGCTGCTTGTTCTAATGAGGATCTATGAATCCTTCTTTCTGTCCCGTTTTACTTCCACCTTCCCTTTCCCCCTATTTTCCTTCGTTTTCTCTGTCTTCTCCCTTTCTTTAAAGATCTTAGGGCAGTTGGGCTAAAGAAAGGGATGTTCTTCAATCCTGACCCTTACCTTAAGATGTCCATTCAGCCAGGGAAGAAGAGCAGTTTTCCCACCTGTGCCCACCACGGACAGGAGCGAAGGTCTACTATCATCAGTAACACCACTAATCCAATTTGGCACCGAGAGGTAAGCTAGTCAGTCCTGTAGGGTCTTCTGCTTAACAGTTCACGGTCAGCCAAGTCCACCTCTTTCCTCTAAGCATCAATAGTGTTTACAGTGCAGGCAAAAATGGTTGGGGTGGCAGCACATCTTGCAGAAAGAGGGTACAATGAGAATGAACTACCCCCTTCAGCCAAGGCCAGATCTATGGTGAGGCATTTACCTCAGATGTGTGATGTTAGTGGGGCCAAATGACGCAGTTATCAAAATATTTGAATGCAACTTTAAAAAAATTAATGCAAAATTTCATGGTGAACAAATTACAATTTAAAGTAAAAGCAGGGTCAGCAACAGCACCTTGAAGCCTGAGGCAGAAGGAAAGATCACTAATATGGGTCTTACTGTCCTTTAATGTTTTGTCTAGCATATATTAATGCAAGTTAAAGAAACTTCTTTCTCTGTGAGTTCTGACAAATGGTGCATGGATTTCTAGCTTTTGCCTTGGGAGGAGCTGTCATCCTGAATGAAGCCAGATTGTATTGATGGGATTTTAGAGGTCCTCGGAGCAACAGTGCACTTAGCTCCCTCTAATTGCAGGGGCAGATAATGCAGGGACCCTAAAACCAGTTGAGACAAGGTGTGGTTATTTGAGAGTTATAGTTAAGATGTCTCCCACAGATAAATCATATGCTTCTTTAAAAGGCTAAGTCGTAAATGTAGCCTTATACTGTTCTTAATAACTGCTTAAGATCTGCAAAATAGTAACGTAACTTTTTTCCAGGCATGCCACACAATTGAACATTATTTCAAATTGAGCTCTTGGGAGCTCATAGCAGTAATACTGTTCTTTTCCTAACAGTTAATATTTATAAATTTCTTAACCAAGTTACCCAGGAAGTCTGATAAAAGGGATGAGGGAAAAGATTATCATCTCTCCATTTTGATGATTAAACAGCTGAAGGTTAAAGTATTTATGTAATCCTTGCTACTCAGAAAAGCAGAAATTGTGCTTATATTCAGCTGTCTTATTCTAATCAAGTGCTTTTTCTATTAAACAGTTTACTAAACTCCCTTTGGAGAACTCTTCATTGTTACAACTAAATAAACTTAGTGGTCCTGACGTGTGAGTCTGACGTGTGAGTCTCACATTTATATGGCTGTGTCACTCTGCCGGGGGTAGCAGTAGATGAATCAGGCAGTTCCTGGCCCCATCACTTACTCACCCCAAGATCCTCATTGTTCCAAAGAAATTTTTACCTTTATAAAGATAAAATGACAGTATTATATTTGGAAGTTTTATAAATAAATAATTTTTTTATTTTTTATTCTTGTTATTATCCAATCCAATCTTCTTCAGCATTTTAAGCAAAATAACAAAGCTCTCTTAACCACATACTTTCATTTTTCTGTTCCTGAAGAAATGGCCTTGTGCACATTTTAAATTAAGTAATTTCTATTTAAACATTGTTCCTTCTTAATGCTTATTAGTGAGACCAAAGTATTCTGTAGCTGCTCATACTTGACTGATAAATGAAGGAGTGTTTTAACCTATATTGTATAACTTTAAAAATCCTGTGCAATTACAATTAAAATTGCATTTAGTAAAATACATTTGATACTTCTAAACCATCCTGTAACATATTAATTTGCAAAGAATTAAATATATCAAATGCACATATAACAAGTTATATTGTTTATAGTTTAATATTTGAGAACATCTCCTAAAATTGTGGAACCAGAAAGAGCTGGATGATTGAAGGGCTTTCCTTTGTCCTACAAGTCCTTAACCTTTTTAATCATTGTGAATGTTAATGATTCTGAGTGAATAAAACTTTATCAGTAACTAGATATTCCTAGCAATGAGGACCATGGTGATTAGGGTTTAAGGAATACCTTTTTTTTTATACAAATAAAATGATTTAATTTCGTATTTGTCTTTCTTTTGAAACATATTATCTGTTTTTGTTTTCAGAAATATTCCTTCTTTGCACTTCTTACTGATGTCTTAGAAATTGAAATTAAAGACAAATTTGCCAAGAGCCGTCCTATCATCAAGCGTTTTCTGGGGAAACTAACCATCCCAGTCCAGAGGTTACTGGAGCGACAAGCCATTGGGTAATCAGCCTCCCTCGCAGGGATCATGTTGAGATTAGTTTGTACAGAAGCAACACACAATGGTACTTTGTGGTCCTAGGACTTTTCTTACTGACACGAAGTGCTAGCTTAATTTGTTTAAAAACAGTATCTGTTTGTGCATTACGATGTGTGCGATAAAAATTACTTGGTTTTAACTATGTTTCTTTTGTTAACTATCTTTTCCCATGGTATCTAGCTACTCCAGATGCAACCATGATTAGCATCTCAGCACCAGATGTCATAGTGCTCACTTTGAATATATTGAAATCTTACCGTAAAAGCCTCTCCCTAGAGCAGGGTCCTAAAAGATCAGGTTGACATTTCCCATGCCCTGATTAATCTCACCCAGAGGATTTGTTATTCCTGAAAAGCAAAATCTACCTTGTTTTGGGGCCATGTGAAATAAAACTTTGGCTGAGAAGGTAGAACAGTAGAGTTCCCAAATAATGCACCTGTTCAGGCGACTGAGCTTAACTCTTAGAGAAAACTTTAAAATGTGATTTGATTTGATACCTGCTTTCCTTCTGTGGGTTTTTATGTGAGTTGTGAAGAAAGTAGTTAAGAAATCATGATATGCCTCCATCCTTGATAAATGTCATTTGTCGTCTTTCATGAATGCCAACAAACTCAATTTAACACTAGTGTTCCCACACAGTAAGTACTACTTTGGGGGAACAAAAGCATCAATTTAAAAGTATCAATCAATTAAAAAAATCATTACAATGTCATTTCTGGGAAAACAAAGAAAAAAGGCAAAGGAAATAATCTCATTTTTGGAAAGTCTTGCTGTGAAATCAGAGAAATTCAGATGAACTGGACTGGGGTTTTACATTAGCATGTGTTCTGAAAATTAGATAACATCTATTTAGAATTGTGCTGAGAAGGTTAAAAAAAAATCATTCACCAGATTAACAATAAATAGTTGATGAGAGGCTTTCAACTACAGTGGTGAGATTAGGTGGAGGTTTGTGGTTCCTTCCAAAATTACCACTAGGGGGCAGTGTGAGAGCAGAAATGGCATGGCTTGTTACTAACCTTTATTTCCTTTAATTAAGTGTAAGTCAGGTTCAAAATGAAAGTTGCTTGCGTGCAAGGAAATGATGTAATTGCATTTGGCTTTGACAAATAACATTGAAGTAAAAACACAATCAACTTCCTCCTTAGGAGGCGGGTAGCCTGAGCCTGGGGCCAAAGTGGGGCAGAAACTGGGCTGGCCCAATCTCCTTCCCCTCCAGCACACCTCCAGCCCGGCAGCAAAACATCACTCTCATCAGCTGAGCACGGGCCACCGGAGAACTAGTGGAAGCCAGACTGTTTTGCAGTGAGGGCTCCCAGCTCCAGCTGTTCTTATTAAAAAAAAAAAAAAAAAAAAGTACTATTTCACAGGTGAGAGGTGTAGTGGAGAGGCCCCAGCCCTTCACGCAGGTGGGCCAACTGTCACGATCCTGTTCTCCTGCTCCTCCCTCCAGTCCCCCTACCTCCACTGTGCAGGCTGTAGCAGCAACAGGGTAATCCCTGCCTGCCCTGGCCCTTACAGAACCAGCTTTCCACCTGGCAAAGTGCTTAGACTTTTTACCCCCAAGTGAAAAAACACTCAAATATTAGTTCACCCACAGCTCCTTGATAACCTTCAAATGCCCTTTCCCCCTAAGCAATGAGAAAGCAAACCAGTGCCCTTTTAGAAAGTGTTTAGCAACTGTATTGCATCTTCTACTTTTACTAATAATTTTCCTTACAACTAGATCTCCTTTTCATTTGTGTGATTACATTGACTATGAAAGCCTTGGAGTCTTTTTTTTTTTTTTTTAAGAGTTTGGAAGTCTGGGGGGAGGGAAGTGCACTGGACTATGGTGATGGCACATGGGTGACAGTGATGGGATTACCACATGGGGATTACAATTGAGATGGAAAAAAAATGTACAAAATGATGTAAAAATAAATGATTATATTATTAAAAAAATAAAAAGAGTTTGGAAGTCTTAAGGGATGTACACCCGCATACGGATTTGGGGAGGGGAGAGTCTGTGAAGAGTGAGGCTGACAACAGTGTAGTAAGGATGAAAAAACCTCTTCTCCTCTTAACAGTGACCAAATGCTCAGTTACAACCTCGGCAGAAGGCTACCAGCTGATCATGTGAGTGGATACCTCCAGTTTAAAGTGGAGGTGACCTCTTCTGCACATGAAGGTGAGATGTCTGGATAAATCGCAGTAGGAAACATGTTAAATCTTACTCAGTTGTTGGATGGCATTGCAATAGAAATGAATATGTGTCCTGTCCCAAAAAGACAATAACTGTTAAAAATGTGTGTTTGACTGATTGAAAAAGATACCTGCACCCCCATGTTTATTGCTGCTTTATTTACAATTGGAAAAACATGGAAGCAGCCCAAATGCCCAAAAGTAGGTGACTGGATTAAAAAGATGTGGTACATATATACAATGGAATGTTACTCAGCAACCAAAAAAGGAAACACATGTCTTTTGCAGCAACTTGGATGGAGCTGGAAAAGATCATGCTTAGTGAGATAAGCCACAAAGAGAAAGAAAAATACCGGATGGTTTCACTCATAGCAGGAGTATAATGGACCAGGCGAGAACATAATAAGAATAATGAACAGCCATATGCCAGAGACATTTTGTGGGGGTGGAGTGGGGAACGGGCTCAAAAACGTGGTGGGGGGGAAAGGGAAGTGCACGGGACTATGGTGATGCCACATGGGTGACTTGGTGATGGGAAACCTGCGGGGATTACAATTGAGATAAAAAAAAAAGTACCAAATGATGTAAAAATAAACTGTTATAAAATTTAAAAAAAATGTGTGTTTGGAAAAGCTACTGAAGTTTTCCCAAGTGTATATAAAAGTCTGTTTCTAAAAAAATATCTATTAGGTTTATGCCCATATTTGGAAACTGGACTGTAGAATTTTCAGTGTAATGAACATACATACTTTATATATCAAACTGGCAAGCGATATGCTTGTTGACAGTGAAAGGTAAATCTTAGCTACTGAGTCTAGACCTTAATACTCAGTGGGATGGCTGAATCCCTCATCTTTATTAATGTGTTTTCTTTCAGATGCTTCTCCAGAAGCTGTGGGTACAATACTTGGGGTCAATACTGTGAATGGAGACCTTGGAAGCCCTTCTGATGAGGAGGACCTTCCAGGGGCACATCATGACAGCCCCATTTGTTCTAATGGACCCATTTCTGAGGAAAGTGCTGCCGAGGGGACCCCCAAGCATTCTTTCAGGACTAGCTCTACTCTGGAAATAGATACAGAGGACTTAATCTCTACTTCATCAAGGACCTCACCACCGAGAGGACGTCAGGACTCCCTTAATGATTATTTAGATGCTATTGAACACAATGGCCCTCATAGGCCTGGTGCAGCTTCCTGCTCAGAGCGGTCCATGGGCGCCTCCCCAAAACTGAGGAGTAGTTTTCCCACTGACACAAGGCTCAATGCAATGCTTCATATTGATTCGGATGAAGAAGACCATGAGTTCCAGCAAGACCTGGGTTACACGTCTTCCTTGGAGGAGGAGGGAGGATTAATAATGTTTAGCAGGGCATCAGGAGCTGATGATGGGAGCCTGACGTCTCAGACAAAGCCAGAAGACAACCCCGTGGAGACTGAGGAAGCCTCCACAACCGAAGCTGCTTCTTTAGAGGAGAAGCCAGAAACTCTCCCAGAGCTTGCAGAGAGCTCCTTACCCTCGGCCCCAGTGCCAGACGAAAATGAAAGTGTTCCAGAGCCTCAACCAGCTGCTGACCAAGCCAGCACCGAATTGTGTAGCTCTCAAGAGGTAGAGCAGCTCACCAGCGGGGCAGACGCTGGGACCTCGGACACATCAGGAGGAAGCCGAAGGGCCGTCAGCGAGACCGAGTCCCTGGATCAAGGGTCTGAACCTTCCCAGGTCTCCTCTGAAACAGAACCCAGTGACCCTGCGAGGACAGAGAGCGTGAGTGAGGCCAGCACTAGGCCTGAGGGAGAGAGTGACCTGGAAGGCGCTGACAGCTCCTGCAATGAGAGCGTCACCACTCAGCTGTCCTCGGTGGAGACACGGTGCTCGTCTCTTGAGAGTGCACGGTTTCCCGAAACCCCAGCCTTTTCTTCTCAGGAGGAGGAGGAAGGAGCCTGTACAGCAGAGCCCACCAGCAGTGACCCAGCCGAAGGGTCTCAGGATTCCATATGCACTCCTGGTTCTTTACCTGTGGTGCAGATGCCCAGTGAAGAGGAGGCAGGGCAAGGGGCAGAGTCTGCCACTCTGCCTGAACCCGAACAGGCGGGGGAGGTCTGGCAACGGAGGGAGAGCCTGGAGGGAGCTGCTGCTGCTGCTGCTGAGAGTCAACCCCAAGAAGAGGGTGATTCTGGGGATGCCCAAGGGGCTTGTGAAGGGGCCACTGCCCAGGAAGAGGGCGCCACTGGAGGTAAGATGCATACCTTTTGGCTCAAGCATACCTGCTCACAGGGAAATCATGTGGTTCTGTCTTTCAGTGTAAATACCCAACAGGTTCCTTATTATCTGAACTCTTCATCTTGGTGCTCAAGGAGGGTTTTGTCAGTGGTAGATTTTTTTTTTTAAAGATTTATTTTTATTTACTCATACAGAACTTGGGCACAGGCCAGAGATGTGGAGGGTGAGAGGCTTCACCAGAGACAGATTGGGGAGCAGAACAGGCAGATAGACGAAGTACACTGCTGAGGGGAGCAGCGGGCGGGTCAGGAGAGGTCTGCCTCGCCATGTGGATCTCCTCCTGGGTAGGCGGGGATCAAACTCATGCAGAAGTGGCTTAAGCTTATAGTGCTGTGCTTTAACCCGCTGCGCCACCAGGGAGGGCCAGAATTTTTTTTTTAAGACTTATTTATGTATGCATACAGAACTGGGGCACAGGTGGGGCTGGGGGTGTTGCGCGGGGCCGGGGTAGGGGGGTGACAGGATTCACCAGAGACATAGTGGGGAGCAGAACAGGCTGACTGATGACATACACTGCTGAAATACACTGCTGCAGGGAGCTGTGGGTGGGACAGGAGAGGTCTGCCACACCATGTGGGTCACTCCCTGGCTGGGGATCTAACTCATGTTTCAGTGGCTGTAATAGCTTCATAACACTGTACTTTAACCTGTGTGCTACCTGGGAGGACCATCTGGTGGGATTTTAATGAGTCTTCTGTTGCAGAAACAGGAGACCTATCAAATAGCAGTCATCAGAGTTAAATGGTGATTCGCTGGTGAGACCTAGATTTGTAGATACAAAACCAAAAAGTTGGCAACTTCAATGTGGGAGTTATCTGTAGAGGTTGTTAGGAACACCTTAAGTCACTCCTTGCATCAAACCATTAACACAGGAAGTTGATGTGCTTTGCATCAAATGTAGTATTTTTGCCTTCTGGAATATAAGAAATGTCAACTGAATTGGATAATGAATTCTCTTATTTGAAGAATAGGCTATTTAATGTCTTAAGGATGCAAATTTGCTCAAAACTGTATTAAGTCTCAGTGACTGGGACTTGGAAGAATGATTCCTTTAATATTCTATTATAGATTCATCAGAAAGTCTCAGGATAACTACTTATGTCTGAGAAGCATAGACTCAGAAGTATGAATGATTTTCTTATTATGTAATTTTGTTTTCTATCGAAAGTATACCCTTCTTTCTCCTCCTTGTGTATGTGTTATGTGAGTGTTTTCTTTATTATCACGGGGCTGTTGTGACCCTAAAGCATCAGTGTATGACTAGGACAAAGATCATGGTGAGAAGAGGTGGGGGACAGGAGGGAACGTTTCTCATCCAGTTTTTGTTTCTGGATCCTAATATGTGAAATAATACTAAAGAGAGTAAAGAGGCTGGGCTATATATATATATATATAGGGTTTTTTTTTTTTGTTTTTTGTTTTTTTTTTTATCCTAGGTTCTCAAACCAATGGTCACCAGCCTTTGCGGTCATTGCCTTCAGTACGCCAGGACGTCAGCCGGTACCAGAGGGTGGACGAGGCTCTCCCACCAAGTAAGCACCTGTCCACTAAAAAGCCCTGTGACCAGATGCTGTGGGTTGATAGGCACACTTGTTCCATGGACCCAGGGAGGTGTTGAGGACAGGACCTGAGGCTGCCTCATTGGTTGTGGCTACAGTTGACTCCAAAGTCTTCCTGGCATTGTCCTGTCAAAAGGAAGGGCAGCTGGGAGAAAAGTAAACACTGTCATCCCTGTAGAGTGACTGTTGTGATCAGGGAAACAGATCTATATACTACAGATAATGGCTTGTATAACAGAATTAAAAAAAAAAATGACTAAGGTAGTAAATAGTTTGGTACAGTCTTTTAGAAGCCTCACTCTGTGTGATAAATAGCATACCTTTGATGGCATTCAGTTGCTTCATATCTAGTCTAGAGACCATAACTTTGGGGTCTGGATTGTATTTCATAAAGACAGGTACTTTCCCGCTATAATTATGAACACCTTTTATGATAACTTCAGTATATCTGAGTCAACACTAATAGTTGCATTACACTCGTGAGACTCAGGTAGGGGATCCCCAGTTGGTGTGTACAGATGTCACAAATGACCAGCCCGGATTACTTTAAGACTTGCCCTCATACTTTTAACACTCTTAATTATAATACCTTAAAGTAGAGAGTGCTTTGCAATCTCCAAGACCTTGTTCCATGCTTTCCCTTTAAAACTTTTTCTGACAGTTTTATGAGGTAATTTAAGTGGATTTTGTCTGTAATTTATAGATCCATAGGTAGAAATAAACTGATCACTTTCATTTTATAGATGACAAAACTGAAGCCAAGACAGTTTAAGTAATTTGAGACCCCATACTAGTGAAAGTGGAGACGGAATTTCAAAAATTCCCTTTTCTATCACGCATTCCAATCTGAGAAGAGACGGGAAGGAATAGTTCTGTGGGTAGTAAATATAAATTCTGAAAGCTTGGTTAGTGCCGAGGGGTGGCTTATAGTGTGTGGTGTGCTATTGTGTGGTGTGCTATCGATTGGGCTCAAACATTGCCTTAAATCAGAGCGACTGAAGTCTTTAATGAAGCTTTACTGTATTGTATTTTGAAATCACATGCTGGAAAGCTCAGTTTTTGTCCCTTTCTTCCAGGTTAAGTTTGCTCCCCCAGGAGATCCCTAGGGGGTGATGGAGGTTGCAGTCCTGTGGCCCAGGCTGGCTGACTCTGCTCACCATAGGTGTGAGACCCAGAGTGTCTTTTCCCTTCTGTGGGTCACTATCCCAAACCCTCACAGGATACAGAAGCCTTGTATCTTGGGCTCTGATGCCCTCCCCATTCTTGATCTTTCTTTGCTTTTTCCTTATTTTTGTTGTTGTCTTACCTTATAAAATACACGTGTGCTAATGCACAGTGAGGAAACCATCCAGAAAACTTAAATTTTTCTCTGAAGGTTTACAAATGCAAGGAGCTTCAGGGATGCCTTGCTATGCCACTTCACACCGACAGCTGAGTGCAAGGTTGTCTGTATTAGAACTTAGTCTCTGAACATCTGTTTGGTCTCTTTGTAGGTAAAGTAGAGTTTTCCTTATTTATATTGCTTCTTCTTTTTTTTTTTTAAAGATTTATTTATTTGTGCATACAGAACTGGGGTACAGGCCAGAAGTGCAGGGGTGGTGAGAGGATTCACCAGAGACAGAGTGGGGAGCAGAACAGGCTGACTGACAAAGTACACTGCTGAGGGGAGCAGCGGGTGGGTCAGGGGAGGTCTGTCTCTCCATGTGGGTCACCTCCAGGGTAGGCGGGTATCGAACTCATGCGGAAGTGGCTTTAGCTTTTCAGTGCAGTGCTTTAACCCACTGCGCCACTAGGGAGGGCCTGCCTCTTCTTCTTCCAGTCTTATTCCCCCTACCTCAGGATCAGGAACAAATCTTGGACTTACTACAATGATGGTTCAGCTGTGATGAGGACCTACTAGTTGTTTCTAAAATTTTACCCTTGCCTTAGGCCATAAGCCATGTGTACTGACTGTGTAACTCCAACCACTGCATGAGAGATGTTCTAATGATCCACAGAAAATAGGAATACTCCAGGCCCTGAAAGTGGCTGGCATTGTTGAGAGCCTCCAGGGAAGCAGCTGGAACTTGAATCTGCAATGAGTGTGTAAAGAATTTGCACCTTATTCTGAGGTGACTGATGATGCTGACAGCTGGCAGCAAGTCAGGGATGAAAGTCTAGACTGTTACCAGCAAGACAAATCTTGATCTTTTTAACATTCAAATAAGTGAAAAAAGCCTGATCAGCTAGGCTCCTTCTGAAATTTATTTTTGTGTTACTGGCTTCAAAGTAATTGTGACATACATTTGCTGTACTGTAGACAATGGGAAATGGTTGATAAGTGTTTTTGCCTAAAGGAAAAAAAAGTATCCCTACTTTTAAAGGGAAGGAGTAGGAATCGATTCAGAATGGAATTGTCTGGATTAATGGACTCTAATAGGATCCAGGCTTGTTGCCAGACTGTAGGATTAATGTATTACTTATGTGGTGGGCTTGAGTGAGCAGGGCTAGAAATTACAATGGGACATTGATCCCTTTTTTTTTTTTTTTTTGTGGTTGTGCATTTTCATTAGTAAAGCATCCTTCAAAATGAAGACCTAAAAGTAGGCGGTAAATCTGAAAAACATAAATAACTTAGAATTTCTACTATGTTTAAGGTTAAGGAGCTTGTTTTCTCAAATTTAAAAGTTTTGAGAAAAAATTGACCTTTTTAATCTATAAAAGTCTTTCTTAAAAGTTGAAAATTAATTTGAAAAGCATGCTGCTATTTCAGAACTTCAAATCCTTTAAATCTGCAGACATACAGAAAACAGCACATTCATTCTGCTGGTTTCTCCCAGACTGAATGCACCTCTTCAACCATATCATGGGACGGAGGAATCCCTTTCTAATTCCTGACCACCCACTCCCAGATGGGAAGGGGAGTGACTATCCTTACTCCCCAAATCATAGATAACTTAAACTTAATTTTGCTTCCTTGAGTGTTAAAGAAAAAAATATTTTAAGTAACTTTGTCTAGAGTTTGTCGCAAATATCATATTTTTCCTTAAAAATACATTTACTTCATTAAAACTTCATGATCTCAATATTTTGGTGAAGGCCCTATGGTTATTGTAATTCTTTTGTACAATATTCAGGTACTTAATTTTTCCAAATCCAGTGACAGCCAATTCAAGCCCCCACTTCTAGTTCCCTCACCCCTATGATTCACATAGACATGTGAAAATCACATAGCTGATTTTCCCTGAGATAGAATTCATTCTGTTTAGTCATTGACCTTCTTCCCAATCTCAGCATTTACTGAGCATGGTCACACCTTCATCTGATCAACATACTAGGTGGTCTAGGAGAGACCAAGATCTAGTTTGAAGGGGAAAGAAGCAAGCTGATGCGATGAAGAGAGGTCAGATTGGAAGAGCCTTGCCACATCCCCACATATGTTGATTCTAAAATGTCTGCAGCCTTCCCTGTCCTGTCTGCCTTTGTGCCTTGATAGGGACTGGTGCTATGGCCGTGTTCTAGGTGTCTAGGTATAGTTTCACACACCTTATAACATTGATTTCCCCTTATTTTAAAAAGGCACATATATTTGAATCTCAGGGCATCTAGAAGTCCACTTGCTTATGAATTTTAGGTTGAGTACTGTAGGCTGGAGTCTAGTGTCTTGCACTTCATGACATCTGAGAACTCTAATATTAGGTCCATAGGCTTATCCAGTAATGTAGCTACTGTTTTAAACTCTTGTTAACTCATGCCAATGTTCCTCTGATTTTAGTATGTCTAGTAATCACCTGACATGGTAATTACAAATGTAGTAACTAAATCCTAGCTTAAGATCACTTGATTCTAAAAACATGAGGTGTGTCCTGGAAATTTGTATTTTTTTGAGTTTCAAAGTGATGTTTACCTATTTTCTTACTGTCAAAGTCTCACACTATTATGTAAACATTTCTGTACATAATAGTTTTAAACTTTATTATTGCATTGAAGCTCTCAGTACAGATGAGATCTTATGCGGAAGACCAGAATGTGCATCAATACTATTGAGCTACGGGCTAATGTGGGGCTGCAGGTGGTTCCAGAAACCCATTCCTCAGGGCCCTCACGTCCCAGGCTCTATTAAAGTTTAATTCATTACAGTTTAGTTTGGAAATTCTGACCTAGACATAAGAAGTTGCTAAATCCTTATTAAGCCAGATGTAGTGTTATTTTACAGATTCATATAATTTAGAACTGGGAGGGACTTAGAAATATTTAATTCTGTCTTCTAATTTTTCTGATAAAGAAACTGTAGCTAGTAGAGGTGTAGTAATTTGTTGAAGTTCATGTAGCAAGGATGTGACAAAGCTACTGCCTGAAACCAGCTCTCCTATTTGCCAATTTAGTGTCTCTCTCTCTTCCTCTCTCTCTCACACACACACTCACTTGCACTTCACATCAGTCATACCCCACTGTACAATGTGGCAAGACGAGGAAGTTAAGTGCTAAGACCTTGTCTTCTGTCCTCGCCTATTGATTTTAGTATTACCTAGAAAAGATGCTAGGTAAGAATTCCCTTATGTTTGCATGAACCAAGAACAAACCAGGCACAGTATAACAAAATATAAATGCTAAATCAACTGTACCCACCCTCCCTACCCTGTAAAGTTACTGTGGTTGATAAGAGAGAGGGCTGCCTGCCTCCAGGCATTGCTACTGCTCTTGCCCGAATGGAAGGGTATTGACTCCTTGGGTAAGAGTGGATGTATAGTTCATCAATAAGTCATCAGCACAGCAGCCTTTCCCACACTCAGGCCAAATATCCCTTGAAGCCAGACATATAGCCTTTCTTCTCATGGAGACTTAAGTAACAACCTCAATTTAAAGATGTGATATTTGATGAAGACAGCCTAGATATGTGTCCAACATCCCTTGTTCTTAGAAAGCAATGTGGGCCTCATTTTCTTATTTGCCCTATTGGACATAGCATTATCTGTACTGAAACACAAAGTTGCCTTTGTGAAAAGTGAATGTCAGAGTCGTTCTTTTTTTATGGCTTATGGCATTTAACTTGTTTATTCATTAGATATTATGTGCAAGGCACAAATATATTTGGAGACTCCGGCTCCCCCTCATCCCTTGCCATTTTGGTACCCACATGGCCTCCATACAAACCAAATTTAATAGGCTAGGTATTTTAATTTATTCAAGGAAAACATTCTATCTTTAAAGATATTTTTTTTGCTTTCTTTTGTCAGAAAATGGAAAGTATTTGATCATGTGTTTTCTTTTCTTCCTTAACTGCCAGAAAACGTAGAGCCAAATTTTAGTTATAACCTTATCTTGAGAGTTTGGCAGGACCTCTTTCTACTTCTTTTAAATTGGTTTCTGTTCTGTTTTTATCCCTAATTAACCTATTCAACTTTTTTTAAAAAATTGGAAGCTAGTGTACATATTCTTTGAGAAAGAAATGGCCGTTTGTTTTCACGTACATTTGATATATAGTATGTACTTGAGTTATTTTGGTTCTAATGAGAAAAGAATATGACAATAATAGGTTCTCAAGATTTTTGAGATGGAAAAGTTTGTAAGGAGTAGAGCAAAACAATGGGATAGATGAAAGGATTTGGAAATCAGTTCTAGAAAATGCTTTTAATATACTTGCTATTTGTTAGCGCATGGCAGGCTGGCCAAGAGGTCTTTTGGAAATACTATATTGATGGGATTATAGCTGTGCCAAAAGGATGCATACTTGGCAGATGGTTATTATGAGTCTGTTACCTTGGAGCATGAGTGACATGGAGTAGCTGTCTATGTGATGCTTTTCCTCAGCCTAGTGTTTCTTTCTCTTGACATCGTTTCATAAATTATTATGTACTGAGGTCAACAAAAGGAAATCTTCCCATTTCCTGCCAAGGCAGCCCTAGATGAAGGCATGCTGCTGGCTCGGACCTATCACACAGATCTTTCCAGTCCCAAGGAGTTTGATGGAATATGTGTTATGTTCACCCCAGAACAAATGCCACAGTGAGTCAGGCACAAACATGCTGCCTTTCTCCTAGTCTCTGGGATTAGCCACATGGCATCGATTGATAAGTTATGTGATCACATGGAGAGTTTTGAAATAATTGATTGCTCAGGGGAAAGGTGCTTATTATGTCCACAAAAGAAAGTATGTAAAAATGTCACAGGGCAGGGAGCGGGGCACCCCAGAGCCCCAAACCTGCCTGTTCTAAATAGGTTCTGCCATTCACTGCATCAAGACAAAATATATAAGACTTTTAGTGGAAAAGAACTTTAATACAGCTAATGTATAATACAGAAAAGATAAAGAATATAGTTTCTAAATCAAATACCCAGAGTTACTCATCCCCCTCATGGGTAAAAGTCTACCCAAAAGGAAATGGCCCAAAGCAAGGGTTGAAATCCCACCATAAGTCCAAAGTACCTTGCGGGGGCCAGGGACCCATAAAAAAGGGTCAGTATTGGCCAGATAAGTCTGGGAGGAAAATAGCAAAATCAAAATCAAGATAAATGCTACCATAGTGAACCTCTCCACGGGTCTCTCTCACCCACATCTATTTCAACTAGTCCAGTACCAAGAATAAGAGCTACTTCTTCACATGTCTTTCTGCAACATGTGCCTCCCTCAGGTCTCCTTCTGGCTCTCCATCCTGCTTCCTTCCTCTTCAGTCTCCAGATTCTTCCCCTACCTGCTCAGCTCTGCTCTTAATGAACCACACGAATGGGTGGGGTAGGGAACCAGGAACTTCCCCTTTTCCTGGGACCCACCCTGGTACAGAAGCAGAAAGGTGTAAAAACTCTTCTGGTGAGCCAGTAGATAATCTGCTTTTTCATGTGTTCCTATATAAATTTTCCTTTCCAACTGCCATTGGTTTCAAAATTTTGCTTTTTTAAAAGATCAGCTCATGCTCTGTGTATTTTAATGGGGGTGGGCCTTGTGGAAAAGAGCCACAGAGGTAGGACACCAGTCTGTGCTCTAGCTTCACTGATGATGCACACACATAGTTGTTCACAAAGAGTAGCATGCCTAACCATCAAATTTTGCATAAACACAAAATTGAATAAACTTTTAAAGTATTGTATCTATCTGAGGTTGGAGGCAAGTAATTATTCTTGCTCAGAAAGTATATTCACTTGGGGAACAGTACAAATGGAAGTTAGTAGATAATGACACTGTTTGATGACCCTGCTAACATTGTTTCTGAAGACTGGATTTGCTAATGCTGTGTATAAGTATACACACAGAAGTTTCCGGTTTATGAGTCTTTCATCTAAGCTAGAAAAAAAAAATTTGGTGAAAAAAAAATCACTAATTAAGACATGAAGAGCTAAAGTATCATATATACCATGTCTTTGTATTTTAAGGTGCTGGCACCTTACATGAAGGATGAGTATTGTGTGTGGGTCTGAAAGGATCCTCTACATTCAGATTCTTTAAGGGATTCCTGTGACACACACAGGATGTATTTATTGACCTGTCACAACAGATTCTGGAGTGGACCAGGTGGGAGAGGGTAGGGTAAGCTACCAGATTATGCTCAGAGGTATGTTAGTAGTCCTAAATTATAGCATGTCAGAGAGAGAAAACATGTGCTGAACTGAATGAACCACACGAATGGCCTCAGGTCCTCCTTTTAATCTCTCTCGCTGTTACTGCTGTTTAGACTGGGAGGCACGCATTGACAGCCATGGCAGGATCTTCTACGTGGATCATGTCAACAGAACCACCACGTGGCAGCGGCCCACAGCTCCCCCCGCCCCGCAGGTGCTGCAGCGGTCCAACTCCATTCAGCAGATGGAGCAGCTCAACAGGCGGTGAGGATGGGCGCTTTTGCTGGGATTGCTTTTAGTGGTTGGGCTCATTTTTACACCGAGCAAAGTAGAAAACACAGTTGTTTCTTTCATTTCTGGGCATCCTGTCATGAAGATGTGAATGTTACGTCTTTTGTTTGACTCATTGACTTCCCTGAAATTCTCTTGGTCAAAAAACAAGACAAACACTCATATGCATTGCTTACCTAGCTTGACTGAAAACTACAAAAGAGATAAGTTATGATGATCATTTTAATCAACCCATGGCACTGATTTTTAGTAAAGCAGAGCACATATAACTTAGTATTTTTTGGAGATGAATTTATTGAGTAACACTCCCATGAAAAACTCCATTATCAGCTTCCATATGATCCAGCAATCCCATTTCTAGGGATCTACCCAAAGGACACAGAAACATTAATTCAAAAGGACACCTGCACCCTTATGTTTATTGGTGCTCAATTTGCAATAGGGAAGATGTGGAATCAATCCAAATGCCCAAAAATAGATGACTGGATCAAGAAGATGTGGTGCATATACACAATGGAATATTACTCAGCACTCAAAAAATAAGCTCATGCTTCTTGCAGCAAAACAAGTAAGAAAAATATAGTGATATTGCTCAAACTGTTTTACAAGTTAGAGAAGGGAAAATTTGCCAACTTAGTTCACAAGATAAATGTAACTCATGCTAACATGATATGACATTTCAAAATATTACATATGCATATATCTTATGGACATACACCCTAAAATTCTTAAAATGTTAGAAAATCAAATTCCATTACCTATAGAAAGAGTAACATCATAATTAAGTGGGTTTACACTAGAAATGTAACATGGTTTAACATTCAAAAATGTCTTAATATAATTTTACATATAAGCAGAATAGAGATACTTTATGATTTGAAACAAAGTAGATTTTTAAGTCTCTGGTATCTTCATTTGAGGTTCATCTTTAATTGCTGAGGAACACAAGGTCATTCCTCAAACAATATAGGAGCTTACTTTTCTTTATTTAAAGGTAAGGGCCATAGGTTTGGTTTGTTTTTTTGTTTTTGTTTTTGTTTTTAATTTATGACTTCTTAACTTGTCAGGAAAATGTTTCTCACACAATGGACAGGAGAAATACAAAGCAATTCAATTTACTTAAACTACTGTGGACTAGAAGGTCAAGGAATGGGGTTCAGGGAGTAAAGAGTTGAGGCAATGATGATGATGAAAACTTTGGGGTTCTAGGGGAGCAGTTGAGTCCTGCATTTTCCAGGCTGCTGGAATGTAATTCTAGATGTGTCATTTTAGATACCAGAGTATCCGCAGGACCATGACTAATGAGCGGCCTGAGGAAAATTCCAACAGCATTGATGGGGCAGGGGAGGAAACTGACTTTCACCAAGCCAGTGCAGGTAAGGCTCTTTGGCTGGATTTACTTTGTAATCTCACAAAAGAAAAAAACAGATAGGAAGATATTTCTAAGAAATGAGGTTTGTTAACATGAACTTTTGACTTTCAGTAAGATCTGGTAATACAACTCAAAAATGTGTGCTTCACTGGAGACTTCTTCTAATCCTTGAATTTCTATTAAAACTGAGAATCACAAAACCAAATTAATTACAAATGACTTTAATCTATCGATAGTTGGAAAGGATTAAGCCTGGTCTAGTAAAAAAAACTAAGTATGCACTAAAATACTTACAATGACAAGAAATACTTAATTCAACTTTCATGTAAATAAGGAAGTCAGGCTGGTAGGTATGAGTAGATAGAAAAAGAAAATATTTTAGGATTAAAGTAGTAATAGATGACATAGGTGTTCTTCTTAAATATAGATGGATAATGCACTGTCCTTTATCAGCATGTTTTAAAAACTAGATTTAGAAATAGTTGATTAAAAGTTTGCAACAGAAGAAAACATAGATGGAAGTGAATAGATATGCTTTCACCATGAAGAGAGCTTTCTCTGAAAGCATTTGTGACATGCCCCATCTAGATTTCCGACGGGAGAATGTCCTGCCCCACTCTACCTCCAGATCCCGGCTCACGTTGCTGTTACAGTCTCCCCCTGTGAAGTTCCTCATCAGCCCAGAGTTCTTCACCGTGCTGCATTCTAACCCTGTGAGTATCAAAGCAGAGGGCGTATGAAGGAAAAAGCAACAGACTAAAGGAAATTATCCTCAGATAGATAGAGATATAGATACAGATAAACTGAGAATGATCGTGGCTAATGTTTACTGAGCATGAAGTGTATTCCAAGGTCTGGTTAAGAACAATATATGTGTTACCCCTTGTAGTTGAAATGACCTATGAGTTAGATTAAATTTGTATTTCCCAGAGGAAGGCACAGAAGCAAAGAAAAGTTAAATAACATTCCCAGGGTTATATGGCTACTAATTAGTATCACTTGGGTTAAAATCGTGGCAATTCTGACTCCTGACTTTGCTCTTGATGACCACCTGATTTTACGGCACCAATCGAACCAACAGCTAACTGTTGACAGCTGTAGTGTTCAGACTGGGCTTGGAAACCATGGGATATGCCCTTCAAAATCAAGCAAGTATGTAAAGTGTATAAATTACTGATATTTGAAAAAAAAATCAATAAACAGAATATTTCAAAGATTTATGTAGTATGTGTGGGAGATGAGGATTTGGGAGCAGCATGTTCATGAAATAGACTTCAATTTCCCTCTAATGAGTGACAAAGGTACCTCTTCATTAGTTCTATTGCTATGATTTCATAACCTAAAATGTTAATATCAGTTAAAAGAATATAGCTATTGTTAACCAACTTTGGTAAGAAACCCTTTTTAACCATTGTTCTAAATATAGAGGGATCATTTTGACTCTCTCCTTTACCTATTTGCTTTAATTTACTCCAGCTCTGCCTTTTAACCAAGATTCTACCCTTTTCCTGATGTTGGTTTCTAGACCAAGAAACCCCTCACTACCAGCAGCACACTAACCCCGCCCTCTTCAGCCCCTCCCCCCTGCCATGAGAGTCTAATGACAACCACTTTCTCTAATTCTACTCACATGTCCTTTTTCCCATATTTATTTTGGAATTATAATCTGGAGTAGAAATAAGCATTTTTTACCCAAGAGCTCCCAGCCTCCTGGAGGCACCAGGGCATATAAAATCCATGAGGTGACTGGAAATATGTTGCACAACTGTTTTCTAGTCATGTGGTATATTTCTCTAAAACAGTTCTAAAGAAGGGAAGCATCTGAAAAGATTATATAAATTAAGACACACATTAAGAAATGAGTGTGAGAAGAAAAGTTAGAAAATATTTTGTTGTGCTGTGGATCTTCAGTTGTGTCACAGGATAATTTATGGACATTGGTTAGTAAATACAGAGTAAGAGGGACTTCTAAATGGAGGATATGCATGAGCTAAGATACATGTGACGAATGTGAAGAATGTGTCCTATATACACAATGAATTATTTCATTCATCCAGTAAATGTAACTGAAAGCATGATTTATGCTACGTGCAGCAGACACAGTGGGGGTTAGCGAATGTTCTATAAACAACTTCACGAAGTTGTCTTCTTGAAGGGAGAATATGAGTTGAAAGCAGAAAGATGAGAATCATTGACTGTGGGAAAAGCCAGGAGAAGCTCATGTAGGCAAATGAACAGCAAGTGCAGGGACCCCACGTTTTTAAAGAGAGAGGTGGGGGATCAGCTGCCTAGGAAGGAAAGTGGGAATGGTATGATACTTGGTTGAAAAGTCTGTGAGATCTACATCACAGATCTGGCTGTGGGACTTGGCAAATTCTTCATATCTGCAGGATTCTGACATCAGCAGGAAGCCAACTCAGAGCTCTGATTTGGAGACTGTAGGAAGGCAAGAGTGAAAGCAGAGTGATGAGAATGAAGGCTCTTTCATGGTCCTGGAGAAAGACAATGGTGCCTGGAGGCATGAATGTTGGCATGCATTAGGAGAGAAGTGCATGGATTCAGCAGCCTGCTTTAACAGTTATTGAGGGTTAGTTTTGTGGTATAAGACTGCAAGGCTATAGTTTTTAAACTTGCCAGACTTTTATAAATAAATTCATATTCTTGGAATTCTGGTTCATGAGGTCTGTAATGGATCCCGGTATTCTGTATTTTTTTTTTAAGTGCCTTATGTGATTCTCATGCAATTGGTCTATAATTTGGGAATTTCTAGGATAAACAGGTATAACCAAATAACCTTGTATATCCTCATTGCCTTTGTCACATCTATAACTCATCTGGATTTTGACAACTGACTGAACAGTGTGAAAATACTCACCAGCCAGTGATTTTCGTTTGTTTTGTTTTCATGCTGTTTTTCTCTTTCTCTTCTTGGGCACGATTGTAAAACTTCTTTAGTTGAGCAGTCCATCTTTATTTTAAAAGTATTCCTCCAAAGCATTCTAATATTTCCCCCTCCTACCTGAACTTCACTTTTACTCACTGAAAGGATACCACATGCTATACATATATGCATTTCTATCTTAAATTCTGTTGTATTGAGGAGACTCATTTCCCTAACTTGTAAGCACAAATTAAAATAGCTGGATTTTTTTTTCTTAATTTCTGGGAATAAGTCAGTAAGTACATGGCTTTATTATTTTCTGTGATTTCTTCCTTCTAGACTAGCAGTAAGTGTTATTAAACAAATGTTTTACTTTTTTTAAGATTTTTTTGGCTTGAATTTTTTAATGATCTGTAACTGTTCCAGTATATTTCCTGTTTATATTATTGAAAATGTTCTACATACAGATGGGGCATATTAATTAGAAAATTTATATGGTTTGAAGTAATTTATGTTAAAAGATAGTCATGAAAAATACATTTTATCTAGCAGTAATTTACTCAATCATGCCTATTGAAAAGAACAAGATTGAATATATATATATATATGATCACTGCAACTCTAAGGGAAAACTTGAAAAACAAAATACTGCTTTCCTTTGCTTCATGTTTGCTTTAAAATATATTCCACTGCCCTCTGCTGGTTCTAATCAGATTTCTTCCAAAATTGTTTTAAACCATTTCTTCACATTACTCAAAATTTAGTTATTAGTGTCATGTCTTTAATAGTTGGTGTGCCTGGGTTTGTCTAATTGATATCATACATATAAATGCACTTCATCACATGCATCTGAAAAATGTTTTCAACATAGGTTCCAAATAATTATTCCTTTGACCATTAATAAGCTCAGAACCACATTAATTCCTTCATCTAAATTCCTTAACATTTAATGAAGAAAAAAATTTTTCTAAGATGCATGATTATATTGATACAGAACAGAAATTCATGCTATCACAAAATAGATGAATTAGGCCCTCCCTGGTGGTGCAGCGGGTTAAAGCACAGCACTGAGAAGCTAAAACCACTTCCGCATGAGTTTGATTCCCGCCTGCCCCAGAGGTGACCACATGCCATGGCAGGCCTCTCCTGACCAGCCCGCTGCTCCCCTCAGCAGTATACTTCGTCGATCTGCCTGTTCTGCTCCCCACTCTGTCTCTGGTGAAGCCTCTCACCACCTCTGAGCCTCTGGCCTGTACTCCAGTTCTGTATGCACAAATAAACCTTTTTAAAAATTTTAAAAAAAATAAGTGAATTAATAATTTACAGCCAGTGTTATTAAAAAGTTAAATTTTCCCTGCATTTTACTCTTTGGCTAAATGAAAATAATGAAAAACCCTTTATAAGTCAAAGAATTATAAAGGAATACCATATAAGACTTGGTCTCCGTATTCTAGCATACATGTATGAAAAGAACGTTTCTTGATTTTGTTTACAATAAATTTTGTTTAGTGAATAATATATACAAATGCTCATCTCTGCTCCCTTGGAAATAGGAAAGACATTTACTATAGATTCAGTGATGTTGTTTTTCAAACTCAAATTTAGCATACCTATCTTAGATGAAGGATTTGGGAATATGAAAGGTAGATTTTACTTAACGGGAATGTACTCACCTGTGTCATTAAAAATAGCAGAACTGGGAGAAGTAAAGAAGAAATCCAGAACATCAGGTTACCATATACTAAGAAAAAGACCACTGCAGTAAAGGGCTATTCATATTTTGGAGGTGGGTATGGTGTGATGGAATATACCTGGGGAGGTATTACTGTATGATATACATATAGTGTTGTATATTAATGATTCTTTTAAAAAATAAATAAAAATATGGCCCTCCCTGGTGGCGCAGCGGGTTAAAGC